ATTATGAAATTACTTTCCAGATGTTCACAGACTCTCTGTTTAATGACCAGATTTCACAGGTGAAAACAAGAGATTCCAGCTAAAAGTTAAGAGGAACTTCCTGATAGTCAGAGCTGTTTGACAGTGGGGTGTACTGCTTCAGAGTATGGTGGAGTCTCCTTATTTGGAGGTTTTTAAACAGAGGCTGGATGACCATCTGTCGGGGATGCTTTGATTGTGAATTCCTGCATGTCAGGGGGGTTGGACTCAATAGCCCTTGTGGTCTTTTCCATCAATATGATTCTGTGCTCTCTTCCAACTCTGTGATTCTACGCCCTCACAACAAGATCCCCCTTGTTGATACTTGTGTGAATCTGGATTCTGTTCTCTTTTGTCCATCAAGACAAAATCTAGGAATTGCCTGAATCCACAGGCAGCCCTGTGGATTGCAGTTAGCAAGAAAAGTACCACATTGTGACAGCATCATGAATGAGAAGCAGGAGCGAAGGTGTCATTGCATTTTATGTTCACAGTTTGGATTGATTTTATTGTTTATACAGGTTCCCCCCCCTGAATAAATTAGAATCTAATTGCTCAACTTAGATTTGCATTTTATGCACTGAATTCAAAGCTTATGGTTTTTTAAAAAGCTCAGTTCATTCACCCGCAGTTGTGGTCCTAAAATTAGAAATTAGACTTCTTCATCTTCAAATGTGACATTACTTTTGTAAAGGGTGCAAAGCTTAAACATTTCTTAGGGGTGTGGGAGATAGAAGGGGTTGGGAATCACTGCTTTAGACAATGCTGTTTGACACAACCTTTAACTGTCATGGCTTCATCCCACAGCATCCTGGAATTTATAGTTTTACGAGGCACCAGGACTTTTTGGCAGATAAAGAGCTTATGAAACTACAGATCCCAGGATTCCAAAGGCTGGAGCTACAGTATCAAATGTCATTATTCCTACAGTGTACATGCATCCTGGGTTATATGTGACCAAAAGTTATTAATGAGAAAGAATGCGCAAGCTAGGAAAGGCTGCAGCAGTTTCCTTTTGCTTGAGCCTACTGGGAAGGGTAATGTTCCACCTTTCTTCTCATCTCCTTTTCTCTCCCTGCTACTGAGTAAATAGATTGTAAACTAGGTTTGAACTTTCAACTCAGTTTACAGTATTTGAAGTAATACTGGAGGGGAAAAATGGAGGAGAAACTGGACAATGAAGTGCTGTTTTCTGTGTCAGCTTTGTGCGGAATAAGTCCAGAATTCCAAATAGCCTTCAAAACACAGAGGTTTTCAAAGATTTTCTCACTGTAGACAGAAAATTGTTGAAATTACTTGTTGCTCCCATTAAGAAGAAATTTAGTGGAGAATTGCATCCCTACTCATAGGCTTTTTGTGAGAGCCAGGTAGTGCAACAAGGAGTGCATTTGCACTGTAGAAATAATGCAGTTAGACACGACTTTAACTGCCATGGTCCCATTCTACAAAATCCTGGGATTTGTAGTTTTGTGAGGCACCAGGACTCTTTGGAAGACAAGGCTAAAAACTCTGTATAACTACAAATCCCAGGATTCCACAGGAAGGTGCTACAGCATTTAAAGTGGTGTCAGAATGCCCCATTTCTACAGTGCAGATCCACTCAAGGTGTGATAAAAATGTAACTCGATGATGATGGTGGTTTATTGTATTTCTATTTAAATTACAGCCCACATTTCAAAATATGCATCTGCATATGCCTATTTTATGTAAAGCAGTAAGGATTCTTTGGATGACACATGTTTCTTTCCATTGGCAGTACGAATGGCCAGCATATCAATGGGGCAGACAATTGCAGAGTTAATTCATAGAATCATAGAATCTTAGAGTTGGAAGAGACCCCAAGGGCCATCCAGTCCAACCCCATTCTGCCATGCAGGAACTCAAAATCAAAGCATCCCTGACAGATGGCCATCCCAGCCTCTGTTTAAAGACCTCCAAAGAAGGAGACTCCACCAACCTCCGAGGGAGTGTGTTCCACTGTCGAACAGCTCTCACTGTCAATGTTCCTCCTAATGTTGAGGTGGAATCTCTTTTTCTGTAGTTGGAATCCATTGCTCCGGGTCCTATTCTCTGAAGCAGCAGAAAACAAGCTTGCTCCATCCTCAATGTGATACCCCTTCAAAGACTTAAACAGGGCTATCATTAATACCTCTGGCACAATAGAATCTGCTTCAAAAAGCAAAATGGAAAATGATGCTTGGTATGAAAATAAGGGAGTTACAAGGATAGCCTTGTAACTCCCTCAACTCTATTTTGACTCTTGTATTCTAGTTAAAGGAGCTCAAGGTAGCATAGTTGTATCAAGGGAGGGAGATAGGCCATGCCTTGTAAGTCTCCTCTTTAATTCTATAATTCTGTACCTCATGTTATTTCTGGTTTTTAAAACCCTAACTACAGATCTGTAAGATAGGATGTGGTTGTGAGTGGGACTAGGCTGAGGTTATTTCATGATTCGCAATTTGAACCCAAAGCTTCTTCCTCCCAGTCCAGCACTCTTTCCAGTAACACCACAAAATGGCTCCATCCTAGTGGCTCTCTGGTGTTGTGCTTCACGGCTGATGCAAACAGTGAGGGAACTGCTAGCCTTACAAAACTGCATTCCCCCCCGCCCATGGAGATATTCTCAAGGCCTGTACATGCTATAGATTTAAAAAGCAGTTTAATAGTGGTTCCTCTTTTCCATGGAATTCTGGGAACTGTTACTTTTTTATGGGATGGTTGCACATCTCTCATTGAGATTTGAATACCTCTTGCACAGAGGTTATGTCACATAAAAAATATTGTTAGGAATAAGTCTTATTGCCTCAGTCTTAGCTATGCTACTTCTGTTAATGGAACTGAAAATGTCTTTTCTGGGAAAAAAAGGTAAATGCAGTTTGCAGTTTAATTTGCTCTAGGACTCATTTGTTTGTCCTTTTGGCTGTCCATGGGATCCTCAGCACTCTTCTCCAGCACCACATTATCTCAAATGAATTTATTTTCTTCCTATCATCTTTATTCACTGCCCAGCCCTCACATCCATACATGGTAATAGGGAATACAATGGCTTGTACGATTCTGACTTTTGTGCTGAGTTGTATATCTTTGCATTTTCTCAATCTTTTCTATTCTTTCATAACCACCCTCCCCATTCTTAATCTTTTTCTGATTTCCTGACTGCAGTCCCCATTTCTATCAATGTCTGATCCCTTCACTAACCTAATTTAATCTGTTTGTTTAATAAAAAATTATCTTAGGGCCTTTGCAGACTGCCAGAAATAATGCAAATTGAGTCCA